CGAGACAGAGAGACAGAGACAGAGACAGAGAGACAGAGAGACAGAGAGACAGAGAGAGAGAGAGAGAGAGAGAGAGAGAGAGATGAAGATGAGGGGAGACAAATGGGGTGGTGGAGTGGGAGAGCTGGGGGAAAATAAGCGAATAAGCGAAGCGGGGGAGAGTCGAGCTGCAATGCAAGCTCATGTATGGTGTCTGTTCTGGATAGCAGATGATGCTGAGCTGTCATAGCTGATTAATGAGAATGAGGGAGATTGCGTGCGTGCATGGGGGTCTGTTTTGTGTCTGTGTGTGCGTGCGCATGCGTCTACGTGCGTGCGTGCATGCGTGTTGGCAAAAATGGAAAATAGAGCTGGAGAGGGTAAGAACAAAGAAAAGAGAAAGCAGGAGGCAGAACGAATACATGCGCCAAGACTGAACCGAAGACAGGCAGTGGGTCGCGGAGATAATTGAGCGTTTGTCGGACATTCGCGACATCTATAGCGACATCGTTGTGTCATCTATCACCTGGCCGCTCTATCCCCCCTCCCTCCGTCGTGCCTCTGTTGTTTCCGTCCCGCGTGCGGCACGCGCCCGGCCGGCCCACGGAGACTGCGTGCGGCGTATCATCCCGCACGATCGCTATTGCGGGCTATCTTGACGGCGATCGCTGCCATTAGCGCGAAATTCCCCCGTTTTCGCCTTTTGTGGACTTCACAAAAAGCTGTACATGCGGGCTAGCGGGCCGTGTATGGACGGGCAGGTGCGCCGGCGTGCGTGCGTGCGTGCGTGCGTGCGTGAGGGCAAATGACATCCGAAATCACGCTATTCGCGCGCGGATGGGGGCACGCGTACACACCCCCGCACGCACCCAGACACGCGCTGCGGCTGCTGCAGCTGTTTCGGTTTCTGTTTCCCCCAACGCCATCGCTTATTGTCAGGCTTTAGCGTCTCTACCTAACCCATGTCGATCTTATACCGATGCTGGCGTGGGGCTGGTGACGGTCCGCCCACTCGGCTAACCATCCTTCATCCACCTCCCTCAATCGCACGCCTGTAGTCGCTTCTGTACTCACCCGCCACCGATAGCGTGGTTTGGCCAGCCGTACACTATCCTCCTACTTCTCCTCGTGCTCGCTCGCATGCGAGACGAGCTCCAGCTGTGAAAACTGTCACAGTGTCACAACTGTGACAGACTGTCGGTGACAAATGTCGAACACTGGCGGTCGCTTGAAGATGTTAGCGGTTCCGTGGCGATGTTGTTCTTCCAATGAAGCCTGGGCGGTCCCTCCCGTCCGGATGCTGTGCGGGCTGGCATCTGTAGGTGCCGCCAAACCCTCTGTAACGTTGGCTATTCGCTACTGACATTGAATAAAAGTCCGTTAGTGGCGTTAACAAACTTAATAAGGGGGTGGGGCGTATTTTGTTACTGCCTCTCTGAGCATGTCTTCCCTCACAACCTTTGATAATGCTCTGGTAAGACATAAACGCATAAGTAGACATACTCTCGGGCGCATCGGGATGCAGGATGATGCGCCAAAGTCGCGTCCGCTGCGCATTCCCTGGCGCCCGCTAGCGCCTCGAAAATCGATCTTCGCAATCAGTTCTGCAATAATCGCATCGTAATTATCGATTCTATTTTTTTTCTCTCTCTCTCTCTCTCTCTCAGTCTTTCCGATGTCTCTGGCGTAATCCGAGAGGCTGCGTGGTTTTTACGTGGCTCGCTGTACACACAGCTCGACGCGGCGGGCCGTGGGTCGGCCGTGGCACCCCTCCCCCCGATCTGATGACGTATAACGTCGCCGGTTCTTGTGTATTTTCAGCGCGAGAGGAATCGGCGGCGATTTTGACGCATGACAAAAAGATAGCCCTAAACTCTCGAGGAACGAGCGCTGTCGACGTTAAGGTGAATTTATCAAACCACTTATATTATTTTATCCGTCTGCGGGACACGCACGCACGCACGCAAGCACGCACACACACACACGCACGCACGCACACACACACACACACACACACACACACACACACACACACACACACACACGTGCGACTGTGTATTGATGGGGGTGTACGTTTATCGGTTATATATACCCCGACGGTCGAATAGGCCTACAGGATAAGGCGCTGTTAGGCGAGAGCCAGAAGGATCGGGGGATCCCAGATTTTGTCTCGTAGCTACCTTCCTCGAAGTCGTACTATATACGAGTATTTACGACGAAGAAAAACGAAGAAGGGGCGAAGAAACAGTTGTTATAAACTGTTTAAAAAACAAGTTGATGCTTGGTCGTTAAGTGTTTTGTCTGATAATGGGAAATAAATTCATTGTTTACTGTCCAATGTTCGCTATGAATATAGAATTTTACACTATTATCTAATGTTCTATCTTCCATGCAGGAATATTTTCACGCTTACTATGGAGAAACATGTGATCCTATTAACTTACCGCAGTGTTTCTTCTATCGCCAATAAAAAAAACTTAAAAGCTAATTTAACACGAAAAACACGCCTTTGGCAGTGTATTTTTAATGAAGCACCATATTTTCTAGGACTGCCGGTATTCCATCGTATGTTGAGCCCAGGCCGTCGTGCATGCAGTATAGTTTGTCTATCCAGGGTCAAGTATGTCTTGCCGCGTCCGCAGCAGCGTCTGTAGAGTCGCTCCGTCCGTTCGCACGCACTCGACGCTCGACTCGGAGCAGCAATTTAGCACTTGTGCTGTTGTCGTTACGTCTTCCATCACACAATTAGCGCGTCGGCGGCGGCCTCTGATGAAAAAAAAAACCTGCTCGATGAATGTGTGCGTGCGTGCATACGTGCGTGTGCGTGTATACGGCCGTGCGTACGTATGCATGTGCGTAACTTAGGTTACGAGTGAAAGAAAAAACGAAAGAAAGGTGTGGATTGATTAAGAGGGCATGGAGAAATGACGACAGCGACGAGAGAAGAGAGCGTGCGTGCGAGAGCGGGTCGAGGGGAAGAAGCGTGCGAGGGGAGGTGACAGCGTGTGTTCGTGCGAGACGGAGGTACATTTATGGTAGTATAATCTTACCGCCCTTGCTTCCCCTCGCGCATCAAGCGTGCCTTTATACCGGCGATGCCTCTAACGCCGGTCGAATATTTTTATATGAGCGTCGATTATTTTATTAGTGCTCCTCCAATTGAACTGTCTGGCTTTTAATATTGACTTTCGGGGGCTTCCATTATGGCTGTGTATTTGGTTGCGTGCTCGTGCGAGTTCGTTTGCCGCGCTCGCTGCATTTGCAGACTATCGCGAGAGGTCACGCGTACTGCCGTTCTCGTTTTTCGATTTTTTTTTGCTTGCCAAGCGACCTTGCCGTTAACTCTCCGGTGGCCGCAGCGACGCCTTGGAAACAGAACTGTGAACAATTCTCCCTCCCGCATATTCTCCCCACCCCCCCATTTCGCATCAGACATTCCCCCTGTGCAATGCCTAACCCCACCTCCATCCGGCACTTTCGAATTCATCGCGAGTCGCTCCTGCCGTAGTTCCATCACCCATCTAATGCCTAGATGTTCAACCTATCACGCACCACTAATTGTCTAAATAAACTAAAACATCAACTAAATTTCGCACAGCAAGGATGTTAAGGACTGGTATCCCATTTCTCTATCTCACATCCTCATCCTCCGTCACGCGCCTCCCATCCCCGTCTCCCCTGTCCACCACCCCTCCCCCGAAATTCCCCCACCAAGCATGCGAGGCTGCTGTTATTATACGTGCCTCACTGCTTGTACGTTCTCGTGCTAATATTATGTCATAAAATGTGATTCGACGCCGTCAGTTGTTGTTTATCCTCGCTAGCCCGCTCCGCTGCACGACCGTCCCCCCACCCCCGCTCTCTCTCTCTCTCTCTCTCTTTCTCTCTCTCTCTTTCTCGCTCTCTCGCTCGCTCTCTCGCAGGATGTCCGCGTGCTATCACAGCGTAATCACTAGCATTGGTGCAGCCACGCGTGCGTGCGTGCGTGCGTGCGTGCGTGCGTGCGTGCGTGTCCGTAATACGTATCATGAGTTTCTGTCGGGTAGCGTCTGCGTGATGACAGTGATCAGCGGGCGCGCGCGCACCTCGCCCCGTAAACAGCCGCGCGTCGCTTAAAACGCCATTCGTCAACGACGAGCACGCCCGGCCGACGGGCGTGTCCGGCCGCCGCCGCCGCCGACGTCGTCATCGCCGACGACGTCGATCACCGTCATTAACGCGCGCAGGCAGCGCCGCCGCTCGGTTGCTTATCGCTGCCTGCGTGTTCCATCTCCCTCCTGCTCCCGTCGCCCCCGCGCCTGGTCACCGCCCTGCCCGTCCCCACCCCCTCCCGCGCCGGGCCGCGTCTATTTTTTCCGTACCGCAAATGCGTAAACGTTCTACACGGGTTCCTCTGATTGGCTGCTTTGATTTGCTTTGACGCAACAAACCTTTAAAACAAGAGAACAAACGCACTCGCACTTATTCATTTCACAGCTTTATACTTTGATAATACTGAACTTACCAAAGTACTAGTATATGAATATACTAGTAAAAGTACTAGAACTACTAGAACTACTAAGTACTAGAAGTACTAGTACTTCTGAAAGTACTAGTTTCTAGTATGACTATGAGTTCGAATACGGTTACCGATGTATCCATTGATGTCTCCGACGACTGAATGTGAAGGTGTGATGATCCCTGCTTATCTTTCTTTCTTTCTGCAGTTAATGTTTAAAGTGTCTACGTCACGAATCTCCAGAAATTATTTAAAAAAATATAGTTGAAACCTTATTTTTGTAATTTTTTTGCATCAAAAGTTAGTACTAACGTTACTAAATATATCCTCCTATATACAAACTCTCACCTGATAAAAATGTTTTTACGTTGGTTAAATTTGCAAAAATCTTGACGATTTGAATTAGTGTTGTCTAACACTATTTACATATTACTGGCGTCTCTCTGTTGCTGTACTGGTTGCTGTGGTCGATGTCATCGTGATTTGTGTATGGTGCACAAAGTGGTGCCCAAACAGTTTCTGTTTTGATTTGTGTTGGCTATATAGAATATACAATATAGGAAAAATAAATAATATATGTTCATGTGTAATAGTGTGTATTATGTTTGAAAAATTATTATTAAAACTGCGAAATGTTATTTGTGTTTTTTTAAATTTCTGCCAACAAAAATGTTTGTGACATCCCAGGATAAATCTTCAGTATTTGATCTCTTCAGTATTGTAAATCTTCAGGATAGATCAGAGGCTAGATCAACTAAACGATAAACAATGGTGGGCAGACCAGTGCATCGGAAAGAAAACGAAAGAGAAAAAAGCAGAAAGAAGATTATATGAGAAACTCCCGCTTGAGTTTACAAGGAATTTCCATGGCTGCCACAATAATTTTGCCAATGCTTCGTTTACCGCAAATGTTCGCTATATCGGCTAGCTGCGTCTGGGCGCCACGCAAAAATTTTCGAATTCATGGCGGTTGTTGTTGTGTCGAGCGTTTGGTTACATCGAATGCACCGGCAAATTAGGGAGTATAAAGAAGGTATATGAGCATGAAAAGTAAATAGAAACGCTAATTGTATTTTCATACATTTTATTTTGTACAAATAACACACAAATATACTACTTGCTGGTGCTCGAAATTCGTGACGTAGACAGTTTAAGGACTATAAGTAAGTAAGAAATAAAATCTTCCTTCAAGAATCCCAGTTGTAAATTTTGTTTGATTACCAACTGAATGTGTAACAGTCTTAGTTGTAACTTGTTATTCATATTTGCACTAAGTTAAGACTAAGCCGTTATAAATAATGTGGGAAGAATTCACCTCAGTGGTACTGAATAGGTATGTGATTTGAAATTATCGAAATGTGACAAATTGCCGTCGTTGGTCAATGGACAATGACGCCGACTGCTATAATTTTAATACATCCCCACATATGTATATCTGTGTTAGTGTTTTGTGAACTTCAGTATTTCTTTGGAGATTTGATGATATTAGCAGGAATGTCCTACTCCTAATGTACACTACTTCTAACAAGTAAAAACACTCTGTACATGTACATTGGTCTACATTACATCAGTTGGATGGAATAATTTTGTATGAAAAGTATGCATATAGTTTTGAAGGCTATAATATGTCACCAACATATATGAATTTGTTTCACTTGAATTAATGAAGAGGGTAAGAAATAATGATCAGTTAATCAAATCACATATTGAATAGGGTTACATTGTTGTTGGGTTACATTATTGTATCTATCTTTACTCCTGCGGCAGAGCGAAGGGCTATTCTATAGTACGAGTACGTATACGTACGTATGTAGTAAGTGTTACGAGAGCCCAAACCCTCTCATAACTTGAGATTAAGGTGAAAATAACACAGTTACACAAAGAAGCGTAATTATAGTGATATTATATTTTATATTAATGAGTAAAATGTGTGTTTTTCTTAGAAAATACATCAGAAAACTTATACTTATCTACTGATGATGAACTAAAACAAATATTTACAAATGGGCGTTTGTTCTCTTGTTTTGAAGGTTTGTTGCGTCAAAGCAAATCAAAGCAGTCAATCAGAGGAACCCATGTAGGACGTTTGCGCATTTGCGGTACGGAAAAAATAGACGCCGCCGGGCCGCTTCTCCTCCTGCCCGTCGCCCCCCCCCCCGTGCCTAGTCACCACCCTGCTCGTTGCCGCTCCCCCGTCGCCTGACCTCCCCTTCCCCCTGCCGCTCTCCCCCGTGCCTGGCCTCCCCTTACCCTCCTCTGCCGTCTCCCCGTGCCTGGCCGTCCCCTTCCCTCTGCCCGTCTCCCCGTGCCTGGCCTCCCCTTCCCCTCTGCCCGTTCTCCCCCCCGTGGCCTGGCCTCCCTGCTGTCCCTCTGGTCGCTGGTGGCCCTGA